ACATATATACATACTTTTGTGGATCTACGATAAATATTTCGTTTATAGTTCCATCTTTTTTGTGGTAGGAATAAAAACGAGGAAACCGGGCTATTGCATTGAACTGTCCAATATTGCATTAACCCGGGGCATTTGTCGATATTAGTATGACAGAATCCTTCCTTCCTCCCTTCGTTCGTGTCAAGAGTTGATTCGATTCCTTAGCGAACATGGATAAGTTTATCTCCTTTATATGGGTCTATGATAAACAAAGTAATGCTAAAATCATAACTTGGGTAACGCTTTCTAAAATAACACATAATTTTGAAAGACAATTTTTTATACAACATTGTTTTCTAAAACTTCACATTTTCTTTCTTTTCACAGAGTTGTCAATAGGAAGAGACAAACATGAACTAAATTTAATTTTACATCAAAATTGCTAAAAAAAAAATAATATTAAAAATAAGTATGAAAGTATGTTAAGTTCAAATGATACCCTACACCGATTATGAGTATATGTAAAATGATTTTCGAAAGGAATAGAGAATGCTAAATGTAGGGCTAAAGTTATATATTATTTTCTAGTCGATATTAAATTTGGGTATATGTATATAGAATAGAACATTTTTAAATTAATTATGAATGTTTAAATGCATCAAATATAAAGACTTGGTTCAAGTCCAAATACTTACAACTAGAGTTTGCTCCTGATCCAATATAGACATTTGTGCGATGGTTCAGTTAAGTTAGAATGAACAGCTGAGTAACGTGGAACCTTACATTTGGATTGTTGCAAACATCAAGAAGAACGTATATATTATATCCAGTATTTTGTTACAGGGTATAAAAAGGTCAACAACATTCTTACAACAGATGTTGCACAATAATAATGTTTGGTGGCCATATTTTTCAGTCTTGTTAAAGAACAATTTCAAATGCCAATAATCTATTTGCAAGAATGTATAAGCAAGCAACAAGGGCTTTGATCGCATAAGCAGCCAATTAAATAGACTTTCTTATTACTTTTTTTTTAGCGGATTATTTAAATATTTCAGATATTTTGGTATTGCAGTTAACAATATATTAATTTAATATAAATATTAGTGTGCTTTTTTGAATTTAATTACGAGATCTAGAATATAAGTATTGGTCCTAAATCACCTATAAATATGAATGTACATAGATTAGGTTAAGAAGATTTATGCATCTAAAAAAGGTGAAATTCCACTCGGAGTCCTTGAGGTCAATTGCGATTCCATTCGTAAGTAGTGAAAATGTAAAAATAGAGAACAGCATTTAAAAACCAGTTCGACACGAAACCTAAAAATCCCGGTCAAATTTCTTAAACTTCGCTTATCAAGTCTTAGAAGTATCATCGTTGCCTTCACATCAAGATTTGCGTATAAGGTATTTGATATTTTGCAATCTATTTTACTATTCTAGTATTGTTCAAACTACAATAGAGACAGATGGGTGGTTTCACTACTTTTCCCTTTCATTTATGTCATGGTTTGAATATAATCTTACTAGTGCGTTCGCAACCTCATTACCCTGTTTGTCTTGTAGTAGATAGTCTCAGATCTTTTCTACAATCTACAACATAGGTGTATGAAATACTCTAAGAGCAGTTTTACTAATTGCTACAACATAGCAGGTCGATTTGATTCCGCATCAGTTTCAACGATTTCCAGATCGCTAGCGACTTTGCTTGGAAGACACTGCATTCGTCCGGAAGTCGGAAGGAAATGATTATATCTATAGGCTTTATTTTAAAATAGGCTACTTAAGTTTATGATGTGATTCAGGGTAGATGTTGAGTTTCGAAAGATGAATGAATTTCGGGAGACGACGGTTGAATGTTGTTCAGGAGACTGTTGAAGGTTGTTTGGGACGGTTGTTGAATGTTATTTGGTACAGTGTAGACTGAGATTGGGTTGATGGTGATAGCTAGATCAATAAGAGTCTTAGAAAAATCGAAACGAAACAAATTTGTGGCCGTTATCCGTTTACGATTATGGTTTCACCAGTTCAGCTACAGAAGACTTCGAATACCATAAATACTTACCGAAGAAGTAAGTTCTTGATTTCGGCTAAGAATACAATCGGAAATACTATACGAAGTCAAGAAGTATTCGAAGGTTCTTGATTTCGGCTAAGAATACAATCGGAAATACTACACAAAATCAAGAAGTATTTGCTGATTTTTGATTTTGGCTAAAAGTACAATATAAAAGTAAATACTGCAAGTTAATTACGAGTGTATGCAGTATTCGGGGATTCTTACAATCGGCAATCTACAGTACATACGTATAGTATGTGTACGGTTTTGTAACTCTTTTTTCTTCTTCTTTCGGAAAAACAAAATTATACGCAAAAGGAGATTTCGGTTTTACGACCTTAACTACGCTAGGGTAATATTTAACAAATATTGAAGCTTCGGCTATAACTTCAAATTTTAATTTGCAAAAATTATAATATTTTTTCTGATTCTTCAGACAGACGAACCGATATGCATTTATAATAGCTCACGATGTGGCGCTTCGTAGTAGAAGCAGTTTTATCCCTTTTCAAAATTTTTCACCGGACGATGAATGTGACTAAGGGCCTATAAAATATGTGCTAACTATCACATGTGCAAAACCGGACATACCTTCGTATTTCCCGAACCATATCAAGCCATTAGTAATCTTCCTGTACCCGGGGTAACGGTTCAAATTTCCATCTAATATCGATTTCCTGGAGAGAGCATCAGGCTACAACATTAAGTTTGTTGTATCTCTAGAGTCCAACGGGGTAGCTGACCAGAACGATTTTATATTGAATATATTCACTTGAGAGATTGAAGATCGGTAATTACCGTTAATCGGTATCCCTCCAAGTATGACCTTATCTTATGAATACCCAACAAAACAACCAAGCATTCTTGGTTGTTTTCAGAATAGAACTGCTCCTAGGCCATCCTTGCTTCCATCTGTCTGCAAAAAAATGGACTTTCGAAGTCGGGACAATTCAACATCGGGGTCTCAATTAACTTTTGCTTCAGTGTATTAAATACATGGTCTTGTGCAGCCCCTCAGCTCAGGGTTAAAAGTCTACCTATTTTAGAAAAAATTGGGAAAAACCTACGATACCATGATAAACCCAATGCGCGGCGCAATTCACAAATAGTCTATTTTTTGGATCTGTATGGGATCCCTTGCTACACACTACGTGCAGTAAGTGCGTTGGCATTTCTCAAATGCGTATGTTCATACAGTAAAAGAAAAAACGGTTTTTGGATTTTAAGATGTTCCTAGAGTATCGCATTAATTTGATAGGCATCGGGTTCAGCTGCAGTTGTCGGTAATCCATATATGTACCTATGTATGTTAATCGGCCACGTTCCCTGTTTCTTACGGACGAGAACAACTGGTTCAATCCAGACCATAGCGAGATATTCATCTACTTGCTTGTTAATTATATCTTACACCTCAGGGTTGTGTGGGTAATAACGTTGTTTTATTGGTCGTTCGTGGTTTCATTCGGATGACGTGTTCCCCCATATTACAAAGGATAGTCTTGCAGTCCCCTAGATTGCCAGTAATCTATCCTTTTGTTCGTGATGTGGATTTGATTGAATGCGTTTGTAGTTTTTTCTCGTCATTTATGTGAAGTTTTCAGATAACGTACGAATACTTTGAGTAAAAATTTTAAATGTATTTTGTTTTTGTTACAATAACAAAATGCTCACATGCTATCTAGAAACAGTACCTTAATAGAGTGGCTTTGCGTCACCAAAGGAAGTCCGTTCCCAGAATAAATTCTACTGCTAAGTTGTCCAGAAGATAAGTGGCCAATCGGAAAGTGTTTCCTCCCGAGAGCATAATCAATCTCGGGACATAATACAGTTCTGACCACACGATGAGTAGAAAAGAAGAACATTGTCCTCGGAAATGACCGATTTGCCTACAACGCCAACAGTGCGTTTCTCGGATATACATATAGTCAATGTAGTAGTTGGGCTGGGGTTTCCGTAGCTTAGCTTCTTTATTCTTCATTTTTATTTATCAGTTAATTCCATTAACTCATCCAAGGAAACAAAACCACTTCGGCGGACTTAAAGCTTATATTCACATCGAAACCATGTAATAAATACATACGACATTTAGATCTTTTAAAATTTTTAAAATTCTCCTAACAAATTTACATTATTTTATCCCCCGAGGAGATGTTACTGAATCTTGCCCCATCTAGGTGTTATTGCAATCCCGTGAGAAGAGGTGCTACCAATACCTCTGGTCGGCCGGGACTATAAACTGGTAATGATCAAATGTATCGTCGGTCCTTCCTTGAAATGATTTGACATGGGTTCGAACCAGATAACCACATAATCTGGTAAAACGGGAACTACAGTGCAGAGTTGCGAATTTTCTCTCGTACCGGTTGTTGGAGAGGTTCCTTCAGGGTGCACGTGGTGGCTGTGGTTTAAACCCAAATTCGCGGAAAGAGAATGTTGGTTAAATACTGATGCACGGTAAAGTCTATAATAGGGGATATGTTCGGTGCTGTTGTGCGAAGTCAACATATAGCCACAAAGGAGTGACTATGGGACTAAGCGTTGGAAATGAGTTGGTGTTAAGGGTATATGGTACAGGATTAATGTAGGGGTATACAGATCTTGTCGGATGAATGAGAAGTGTGCTGGGTTCAATGGTGATGGGTGTAAGGTATCTTATACAAGTGGTACCATTTTGGTACTTTTTTGACCGGGTATCTTCAGGGTTTACTCCATACCTGATTCACCACAGTGAGTTCTCTGTGAGTAGAAACAAGTCCTCGGCTTATTTGATGAATTAGTGTTTTGGTCTACCTATTACTATCTGCATGGTTGTATGATGTTTTTGCATCAGAGAATTGATAGCTCGAAATACCTTCCCTTATCTTTGAATGATATTTATGGATTTCTTCCCCTTAATATATGTATATAAATAAATGGACCAAGCGATTGGGAAAGAACAATTAGCAGCCAGTTGTATATACTGTGTTTGTCTTTTTATTAAGTTTTTTTTTTCATTTATAAACATTGATTTCATGAGGGATTTAAGTTACAAACAACTCTTTATAAAATAATGCATTAAAAGTTTAAAACATTTTTCTTATTTTGTTTTTATTTATTAAAAATGGCTTTTAAACTAAATGACTAACAACTGAACTTTAAATTTATTTGATTGATGTATACATACATACAGGTTTTGCCTTAATCACAATCAAATTTTAAATTTATTTAAGACTAATCAAACTTTGTGTTGTAAAACTAAGATAAAATTTCAATTTGATTATGTATGAGACAATTAAGTTTAAGAAAATTAATAAGAACTTACAAAACTAAAGATTTGTAAAAATTAATTTATAATTTCTGTAAAATAAAATACAATTAAGAAGTTTTTTTTACGTTGGACAACGTAATGAATAATATTACAAAAGTAGTTACTCTTAAAAAACGTATATTTTTTTGAGAAATAGAAACAAAAATACTAGAGAATATAATGTTCACTACAAAATTATTTCACTTTTAAAATAAACAAGATCTTAACTTAAAATGATGTTACTCTTTAATATAAATATGTATTTATGCTTATTGATATTTATTTATACATAAATGTTTCAAGTTAATATTTGTAGTACATTAAACAAAATGTATGTATGCATGTGTGTAGTTGAGAGATGAGAAGTAATAAAAGATTAATAAGTAAAAATAAAATTAACATAAAACATAATAATAGTAATTGAGTTTGTGTGACAATACATTAAAATCTTAAAGTTAATTTTGTTTCTTTATTGGGGGTTTCTGTTCATAATCTTCCTTACTCATCGTCCTACTATGAGGGATTGAAGTTATAAGTAAAGCCGGGATTATTAAATTTAAAACGTGCAATATCAAATTTGAGTTTTTCAGCTTTAATATCTGCAATTCTTTTCAGTTGTCTAGCCACCTCACGGACATCCTGTGAAGCTAACAGTTGTCCACCCAGTGTGGAACATGAACTTGTTGGTATTTCTTGGGTTATATGCTGCTGCTGTTGTTGATGTTGTTGCTGATGATGGTGCTGCTGCTGTTGTTGTTGCTGGTGTTGTGTTTGTGATTGGTGTTGTTGAATGTGGGGATGAGCAACAGTGTATCGTGTTCCATGTGGTGCTTTTTTCACTAAAAATAAATGTTCAGTTAAATTTACAGACAAATAAAGAAAAAGTACCAAAAATTATAGATTTAAATGTGATTTTATGATTCTAATCTTAAATTTACTCGAAATTCAAAAAGTACCCGTTGAAGAATGATATTCTTTCACAGGAAAGAAGAATCTGAGGCAACTCTATTTACAATAGGAATCGATAGTGGCCTAGGTGTACTTTTTCGGATTTGATATAGTAATATCCTCCTATTAACCTAACCTAAGCATATAATTAATTAGGATCATATATGATTGATTTTATAATTCTAGTCTCAAATCTCAAAAACGGTAAACAAAAATACAAAAAAAAAAGATTACATTCAATCAGAATGACGCTATATGAATAACACAAGATTAATAAAAGATTAAGTAAAATGTTTTTTTTTAGGAATTTTACGACACAATCGACAACTTAAGCTAAACATATTAAATATAAAAATCTAACATACCTTCATATATAATTTGATCGGATATCTGTGATCGTAGTCGTTTAAGCGGAATATCACCATTAATTAATTTTGTTACCGTGGCTGTGGGTGTCGTTGTTACTACGGCTGTTTGTATTGCGGTACCGCTGTTTGACGATGCCAGATTAGAACGACGATGTGTTATAAATTCTAATTGTTCATCTTGTTGTTCTTCCTCGGGATATGCGGGTTCTTCAACGACAATAGTACGATATGTAGTACCGCCACCACCGCTAATAGAATTCCCATGATTGGAACCACCACCTCCGCCGCCACCACTTCCGCCATGTGTCATCGAAGAACTGTGTGTAGTTTCGGGTATGATTTCCTCATGTTCTTCATGTTCAGTCTCGACCATGTGTTCCGCCTCTTCGTCTCCGATGGCTTCCTCCACGGCTGCCTGCAGTTGTTTCTGGAATGTTTCCGTCGTTGGCATGTGTTCCATTTCTTCGTCTTCCTCTTCTTTTTCCGATTTAAAATGTATAGATATTTGTTCAGGGGGTGCAGTGGCCGGTACCTTGCCAAACAGCTCTAATGCACGCAACTCTAGAGAGGTCATGGTAATATCTTTTTCACCCGATATGCTACGTCTGTACTTGCATCTGGTTGTATTTTTCCAATCATTGAGACGCTTTTAGGGAATGCAAAATGTTTTATGTACAATAAAAAAAGATATAAAACACTTAACTTACCTTGCGCCACTCTTCCGACGTCAATGTAGGACCATTGCTGCAGTTATTAAGCTTATCGGACAACTCTTTCCACTTTCTGGTTAAATAGTTAGAGTCATATTCGCGTGGTATACGTCCAGTGGCAAACACAGCATCCTTTTCCATCATTTCGATGTACATCATGTATTGGTTGGTGGACGTTCTCTTTTTACGTCGATCCATTTTTTGTTGTGTTGTTTCGGCACTATCGGACATCGTTTGCTATTTAGGTATAACTCGATCACGATTTAAACTTATTAATTTTATATTTTATCTTATTTTTTTTTTTTGCTAAAAAAACAAAATATATTTTCTGTAAACACAATTACTTCTCGCATAAAATAAACTGTCAAAAAAATTTCTATGCGCTTGTCACAGAGTTGTAATTTTTCGGCTTATTTACTAGAGTACTTTTTCGACAAAAAATTAAACAACGTGCAACCATGTGGATAACCAACAAGAAAGTGTTAAGTTAACAACAAGGCGAATTCTGATAAGGTGGTGGCAGTTCGGCAACAACAAAATTTTCCATGTAATTTGTTTTTGCATGTGGTACGCACTGATGTCAAAAACAGTAATTGCGGCGAATTCATTTAATGAAAATATTTTGTAAAATTTTTATGTTTTATAAAAAATACACATAAAAATATTAAAATTTGTGAAGATAATACATATACCCAGAGTGGAAGAATGTTTCTTCCAAATGAAAGATTCTACTCCGGCAGATTAATTTTGCAAAACTTAAGTTTGTGCCCAAAATTATAAAAAATTAATATTTTTGAAAAAAAAAATATGGAAAAATTGTATACCGAATGAAAGAATCTTTGTTGTAAATGGAAAATTCTATGGATTTTGTTATAAAAAGCGTTGCGGAACATAATTTTGTTAGTTTATCACATTATATACACAGCGTAAATATAAAAAAATTTATTAAATTTTTTTTAGATCTGAAAATTTTACCTTAACGTAGAAGACAGCTTCCGCCGGTCGGGTAAATACCTCATGTGGGTTCTTTATATTAAATGTTCTGGAACAGAATTTTTTTGGTTAATCACGTTAACTACAAAGTGTAAATGCAAAATATGAAGCAATATTATTTTATTTCTTAACATTTAATAGAAAAAAATATTATTGTTATTAAGTTTGTACATGCGTACCAATAATTCATTATTCATATAAGAAAAATATTTGTTTACAAAATGCATGGTATTTTTTACATAAATTATTCAAAATACTAACGAAGTTTTTCTCAGTTTTAAGTTAAAACAGAAAATAATTATTATCCATGGAATTTTTGCTTAAAAAAATCAGTATAAAGAATCGTCCTAGAAATGTACCAAAATATTTCCCAGACCTTTTTTAATCGATTACTTCAATAAACTTTTTTTTCTTGATTTTAATAATAAAAGTTGAAAATAAAAATGTTTTTTGATTTTTATTCTATTTATTTCAATAACAAATTATTTATGTTTTTTTAATAATACTCACTCAGTAATTTTTATTTATTCAGACAAAAATAGAAATCAATGATTTTTATTTTTCAAAACAAAGAATAAAAATTACCTAAAGAATTTTAATTTTCCAATTTTCAAAACTAATTTCTGCACAATTTGATCGATGATATCAGTGGTAAAGAAATTTTACCAATTTTCTATTAATCTCTGTTTTAAAGGTAAATATCGCATAATGAGTTTTATAATTAATTTCAAAAAATAAAAATCATTGCCTGATTTTTATTTGTGCCTTAGGTTTAAAAATTATTTGTGTTTTTTATTACTGAGTTTTATTTGAAAAAGTTCTCAGTAATTTTTACAGAAAATATAAAAAATACAAATCAAAAGCAATTTGTATTTTCTAAGAAATGAAATACAAACAAATAAAATTTTTAATTTAAATTTTTTTAAATAAAAATAATAGCAGTTACTGTCTCTGGTTTTAACGGAAATTTTTTAATATAAAAATATAAACAATAACAAACTTTGACATCAGTGCGTACCAGTCAAGTGAAGAAAAAAATAATAACACCACCTTATCTGAATTCGCCTTGGTTAACAACAGCAACTTTTTATACCCTTCACCTTCGTGAGAAGGGTATATATAAGTTTGTCATTCCGTTTGTAAAATATAATTTTCCGACCCCATAAAGTATATATATTCTGAATCCTTATAGATAGCGGAATCGATTAAGACATGTCCGTCTGTCTGTCCGTCTGTCTGTTGAAATCAGTTTTCTGAAGACCCCAGATATCTTTGGGATCCAAATCTTCAATAATTCTATCAGACATGCTTTCGAGAAGTTTCCTATTTAAAAACAGCAAAATCCGTTCATAAACAACGGAGATATAAGCAAAAATCCGAGACAACCTCTGAAAATTTCATAAAAAATAAACAACAACAACACGCTAATTCATTGCCTTTGTATTTTTTTTTTTGAGTATTTCGTTTCGTATCTTTGGATGGCTGTGTGTTTCATTGCCTTGTGTATATTGTTTTTGTTTCTTGGTGCATTCAATTTCGTATGTTTGGATGTCTGTTGGTTTCATTGCGTTATTTTGTTTTTGTTTTTTGTGTCTGTTGGTTTTACTGCCTTGTGTATTTTGTTTTTTGTGTGTTTATATCGCTTATACCCCATTTACACATACACGAAATCTAGTACTTATGAGATTTCGAGCCAAATCTACTTGATTTTAACTAGATTTCCCATACAAAACAAAATCTACTTCGTAACTAGATTTCGTTAAAATCTACTCAAAATCTAATAGTTTTTAGTGATGCAACTCTGTTTTTTCCTAAATAATACTAAAAAATACGACACTACACAAGAAAAAAGAGGAAAACAAAACAAATAATGATATAGTCAGAAAATGAATTTTTAAATACACTATGGTGAAGGGTATATAAGATTCGGCACAGCCGAATATAGCACTCTTACTTGTTTTTACTCAATTTTAAGTTTGTTGGAGAGACTAAGTAGAATATTTCGTTCTTCTTCTCTTTATTTTTCTTCAGCCAAATTAGAGTCAATAGTTAGTTTCGAAAGCATCAAAAGGGGTATATTCAATATGTATAACTCTCCAATTTAAAAAAATACCACTTATAGACCTTTTAATTCTATGATTTGCGATATATGTATGTCTTTTGGTCAACAAATGTTTAGTTTTAGAGTTATAGATCTTTTAAGTTATCATATAAATTATCAATTCATGAACCGATCCGTATAATATATATACATATCATTTGAAACAGCTTTGGAATAGTATTTCAACGATATATAATATGTCCCAATTTATTAACTCATTGCAAACAAATCCCACAAAAAGTATTTTTTTATTTCACAAATCCATTGAAGTAACGGTACCGATAAATATTAAAAAATTGTAGAAAAGATTTCAGGCTTTCATTTGATGTATAGATACATATATACATACTTATATTTTAATAAAAAGGGTAAAGTATATAAAATTAATATTTTTATACCCTACACCACTTTAGTGGGGAGGGTATATTGGATTTGTGCTGATGTTTGTAACATATAAAAATATTCGTCCTAGACCCACCTTAAAGTATACCAATCGGCTTAGAATCGTTTTCTGAGTCGATTAAGCTATGTCCGTCCGTCCGTCTGGCTGGCTGGCTGTCCATGTAAACCTTGTGCGCAAGCTACAGGTCGCAATTTCAAGATAATTGGATGAAATTTGGCACGCACGTTTTATTTGACCCAAGGACGAAGCCTATTGAAAATGGTTAAAATCGGTCCATTATTTCACCTAGCCCCCATAGAACAGAACCGCCCGAAAAGGGCTTCTGAGCTCATAATTATGTTAAATATACAGATATATCGACAAAATACGGCACAACTAAGTTTTATAGAAGTCTTGATAACCCTGCCAAATTTCATAAAGATCGGGCCCCATTTGACCCTAGCTCCCATACAAAGTCCCCTTTAGAAAATTACTTGAATGTCCCAAATTAACTTATAAACACAAATATCGCGATGAAATTCAGCACAATAAAATATTATGTAAATATAAATATATTCACAAAATTTTATCGGGCTTGGTCCATATTTGCCCCTAGCCCCCATATAAAGCCTCTTTCAGAAAATTAGTTTTTCATCCATAAATTGCTTAAATGTATCGGAACAAGGGAATATTGAAGATAAATGAGATATTATGAAAAATAAATCACATTTAATATTCATAACTGGTGTAGGGTATCATATGGTCGGCCACGCCCGACTATACTTTCTTACTTGTTTATTCTATATTAGTTACCCAGCTAAAAATAAAGCGAAGTAGCAATTAGTGAATTTTTTTACCTTCTGTGGAAGTGTTGTTAGTAGTCTTATCAGTACAAGATGTCTACGATACGATTGTAACGCAAAGTGCTTTGCATAGTAGAAAAAGTAAAGGTATAACCCAGTGTAGAAAAAAATCAGTCTTGGAGAAGTTGACAAAATTGGAACGTCATGGACTGCAGTTTTGAAAAAGCGTTAACCATTATGAATATTTGGGAAAATATTTTTCAATATTTCAACATAAAAGAACAATTGTATTTGACACAGATTTGTTGGCAATTTCGTGATATTGTGAAATCTATGATATGGAGAAGAAAATGTAAAGAATTGAAATTGTGTACAATAGAAGATACAAACGTAGTCTTAGTCACCAATCAAGTAGACGATGTCGAACGATATAATGCCTACACAGATCCCATGTATAAATTTGATTGTTCCGATTATAAAATTACAGATGTTTCCCAAAATTCGAGTGTACTCTTAAATTATGCGGAAGTACAAGAACTATTATTCCTGAATCTCGACAATGTGAAAAAAATACAAATCATTGAGAATGCGGGTAAATTGGAAAGGGAAAACAAACTAAGTTTTTTTGGGGTGTTAATTCAAAATGATTTTCCACAACTGACAAGTTTAAACTTGTGTGGCATTAAAATCTTAAACGCAGATACTTTAAATAAAATTAAACTATGTTGCCCACAGTTGGAGAAACTAGCTCTAAGAAACTGTTCAAACTACAGCAACAACAATGGTGTTTTGACTGACCATAGATTTATTTCCGCAATAGCCGACATGAAAATGTTGAAAACATTAATTGTAAGCGAAAAACACTACGACTATGAACTCGAACATATATTATTCGTTATTAGAAGGTTGCAACATGTTGAACATATTATTTTAAAAGTAAACACCGTTGCCAGAAATTTAGATGGCAGTACTGAAGTAACAACTCTCAATTTTCCAGAGAATGTATGTCAAATAATCAGTTTTAAATTGCCGATGCTTTCGGCAAATACAAAATCATTACTTTTCGATTTCAAAAATCTGGAAGTATTAGCCATAAATGCTTCTTACAATTCCTTTTGTGTAAACAAAGATGTTTTGGAAAATTTAACTAGAACTTGCAAACATTTGAAAAATTTATATTTGAATTTTTGTACTATCGAGAGTTTTTTTGCTATACCATCTTTAGAAACACTAACACTTATAAATTGTAACCCCCTCAATTGGATGGACCTGAAAACAATCTTAAGCCTACAAAAATTACAATCATTCACATCAGTATTTACACGATTTTCTAATAATTATGAAAACTTCTACATTGAATCTCCTTTGGAATATTTGCGAATAGAAACAATGGAATATGATTTTAGGGATGAATTAAAACAACTTTTATTATACAACTGCCAACAAATGAAAAAATTAACCACCTTAATATGGCATGATTATACACTATGGTACGCTGACGAACCAATTGCCATGCACTTTCCCCTAAAAGGCAATTTCCTCAATTTAGAATCAATGTTTATAGATTTAAGTGTAATCGTTATGGATGATATACTAAAAATGAAAGTCTTAAGCAATTGGCCTTTATGTATAATGAGTATGAAATTAATTTTAACAATTTATTTAGTATTTTCAAACATTCTACATTGGAATCTTTTACACTTTACTCACGAAATGTTGAATATAGCGTGAAAATATCTACGAATGATTTTATTGGGTATAAAATAAATTTGCGTTTAATTCAAATACCACTCAATATATTTAATAAAAACAAAATATTTGGCTAAAATTATTATGCACAATCCCCAACTGCAACTGGGTTGTTATTTTAGTTTGACTACAATGACTTTAACGTTTGAATATTGAAAGATTTTGATTGATAAATCCTAATTTTCCAGCAAGGAATCAAATCGAGAAAAAGAGGGCGAGCGAACATAGAGGGCAAGGAGGGAAGGAGGGGAAAGGGACCGAGGAACGAGGCGACCTAGCGAGCGAGCGAGCGAGCGAGCGAGGAGAGAGCGAGCGAGCGAGAGAGAGAGCGAGCGAGCGAGCGAGGGAGCGAAGCGAGCGAGCGAGCGAGCGAGCGAGAGAGAGAGCAGCGAGCGAGCGAGAGAGCGAGCGAGAGAGACGAGCGAGCGAGCGACAGCGAGCGAGAGCGAGCGAGCGAGCGAGCGAGCAGCGAGCGAGCTAGGAGCGACCGGGCGAGAGCGAGACTAGCGAGCTAGCGATCGAGCTAGCGAGAGCGATCGAGAGAGCGAGCGAGCGAGCGAGCGAGCGAGAGGAGCTAGCGAGCGAGGAGCGATCAGCGAGCGCTATCTAGTATCTAGCGATCGAGCAGATATCGTATCTAGCTATCTATCTATCTATCTATCTATCGATCTATCTATCTATCTATCTATCTATCTATCTATCTATCATCATCTATCTATCTACTACATATCTATCTATGTATTCATCTGTTATTGAACTGTAATTTTTTAGATTGTAAAGATTTGAAGGAAAATCCGGAGACTGTATTGAATTCGATTAAGACCGTTACTCAATTTTGTGATTTCTCTAAAGAAACGTTGCATTTAAAGCTCTGAATCGCGTCGTATATAGGCCTGGCTCCGCTTGACCAAATTATGACCTCAGGAAGCTCCTTTAGATGATGATTATTTATTAAATATATAAAGTATAAACTGTTTCTAGAGTAATGAAATTTGCAAAGAAAAATAATACAAAAACAAATGTTAAAAAAGAAAAATAATAAGGAAATAGGGAGTTTAAATTAAAATTGGCTGTGGACCGTTGGCTTGGATGATGGTTAAGAGCCAAAAAGAGGAATTATTATCTTAATACATAAGACTGTTTGAGAATCTATCCAAGTCCAGTATAACGTCCACGTAACAACTTTAAATGAACATGTAGAAATTAACAAGAGGTCGATTTGTTTACTTACACCTATTTAACTGTTATTTCCTGCTCAGGAAACAAAAAATAGTATACAAACCAACAGAGTGCAGAACTATATATGTATTATGAATAATTAAGTTTATTTATTAATATTAATATACATCTGTATATATTATATATTTTTAAATTTACTTTATTAATACTAATTTTAACTACATACTATGTGTTTGTTTAATTTTTACATTAACATTCAAAAAAGTTTTAGTTTTGTACAAATGTTTATATACAACATTTCATATATAGTTTATTTATTAAACTTAATACTAATAGAACTAAACTAAATACTAATTAATTGTAATTGTTATTAACTTAACTACGTTATTAAAAAAGTAAACTTAATTTAGAAAAAAAAAAACATCTTATTGTTTAATACACTTTGAAAAGTAAATATTAATTAATTTTAGTACAGAGTTTTTGTAGTAAAGCGAAATATTAAATTGAAATAAAATTAGATTTGAAAATGGCACATGATGGAAAGGTTTAACATGTAAATTAAAAACAAAAATACGATAATGGAAGCATGATTAAAGCATAAGTTTTATGTGTTTTTAATTATATATAAATTTTAATAAAGTTTTTTTTTTTTTGTTTATTTAAGGCATTGTTAAATTTGAGGAAAAAAGGCACAATGTCATAATTATTTTACCAATTTTTTGAAAATTACCAAAATTTTATTTGTTTAAGGCCAACATATTTCTTTGTCTATATTGTGTAGTGGTATATGCAACAAAAAAATAATTAAAAAAACATCCACTGTATAATAACCTGATTATACATAATTATCTTTTATGTTATTTATAATACATATAAATATAAATACTTTTAAATCAAGTACTTTTTTTTAATTTTTAGTTTTTTTTTATCAATTAGTTTATAAACACTAAACTTAAAAATAATTTCATATTGTATAATAAAATTGCATATTGTATTTTAAATCTTTTTAGTTTGTTTACATATAAAACTTGTTTTAATTTATAGGTTTTACAACTACACCAGTATTGTATTAAGAAAAGTAAAATTTATACGATAATTTTAATGGAAAATTTAAGGCTGCGAATTTCTCTTGTACAATTTAAATATTGTTAATTAGAATAAAACAAAATCTATTTGCAGATTTTGTAATTTTATTTATTACTTGTGAAGGTTGGTGGTGTTTTCTAAACTTGTAATTTCTTAGTACTTTATAGATGTATACATTAAAAACCATATCAAAAAAAGTCTTTTATATTTCTAATGTGAATCTACAAACCTCTGATTTTTACTAAAACAGAGACGTAATATAGAGCTTAATCATTTTATGTTAAATTATCTGTTAAATAAAAAACTATATGTATTGAAAACTATGGTGTAGTGAGCATGAAATGGTATACATTTTGCTGCCATTTCAATTGAATTGACAATTTAAAAAGAAAATTAACAATAAACTGTTAATTGTTTAAGAAAATTAACTTGAACTTCTTCATCAATAATTGAGCGAAGAAAACATATAAAATTTAAGTTGTTTGTTCAATTTTTAAACACAAACTTCATCATAATCTAAACGCAGTTTCTCATCTGCGGAAGCCAATTTATGTATAGTCTTTTTAATACGCAAGGCAGGTAAGCGTACATTTGGATTTTGATGCCAGCATTCTTTCATAAGTTTTGACATGCCCGCCAAAAGCTAAAAAGATGAAACATGAATTAAAATATAATTCCTGAAAATACACATGAAATATTTACTGGATCTGAACTCCAACGATTGGGTATCGAAGGTCTATAATTATCTACGCAAACAACCTTGCGCATATCCTCAAAGCTGGGATCGGAAGGTACCACATCATAGAATGGCACTTTATACTCCTCAGCAATGCCACACGATATAGTCCGTCTGCATACTTCCCATAATACTAGACCCAAGGCATAAATATCTGTGCGTCGTAAAGCTTCGAAATTATGCATGTCAATACTGTAAATTACAAAAATTATAAACCATTTGAATTTAAACGTGAAAGCTTCACATTTACCTTTCGTCTAAAATTTCCGGTGCCATATAACGTTTAGTGCCCACTTTGGGATTATTGCCCAAATCTAATTTGCCGGTAACATTTGAATGCATTACAGCTAAACCAAAGTCAGCAATGACACAGGTACCATTTGGTTTAACTAATATATTTTTTGATTTTAAATCACGATGAGCCATAGCAGGTTTTCCCTAAACAATTGTCATTCTCAAAGTAGTAACGCAATCGATAAAAAAATGTTATGTTATTATTTAAACTTACCTCTGTACCAAATATTTCGGTGTGCAAATGTACCAAACCATTTGCAATCGATAGGCAAATTAAAATCATATCACGATGACTTAAGGCATTTCTGTTTAAATGATCGAAAAGGGAGCCATGAGGATAATAATGTGTTAGCAGCCACAATTGGGTGCAAGAATTGCGAGAAGTCATGTCTGAGCCAATAAAACCTAAAATATTTTCGTGCCGCAATAAAACGGTACTAAAAAAACAGTTTGTTAAAACATTTGCGTAGACATTTTTTTAATTTAATGTAAATTACCTATAAATTTCTGTTTCACGTTTCCAGGATTCTTCGTCACGACTGAAAAAGATTTTCACTGCAATATTTTCACCATGCCAATGACCACGCCATACTTCACCATATTTGCCTCGTCCAATACACTCAACCAGTGTTACTTGTTTGGCTAGTGTTCGTTGTATAAGTAACGGTAATCCTGAGCCCGAACCCGATGTGACTGAATGTTGTAAATATTCCTATTTTTGAGAGGATTTACCAAAAATTATTTAAAGTTAATTTTTAAATTAAAAATATGTATTTGTAATAACCATACCCTTAAAGTACTATCTCCAGCACTGGTAACGCGTAATAGTTCATCATTTACTAAATAGGAATCTGGATCTTGTTTAGCTCTTGAGTATTCCAAGCGCTTACGATGTGTTCGTCTAATAAAGTATATTGCTATATAGGCTAGTATAGAGATAATGACGAATGGTCCCAATATAGCAAACGTCATCTTTAGCAAGTTGCTACTGTCGGCACTTAAATGTGTTACTTCAGCTTAAAGAAATGAAAAAAAACATACATGTATATCGAATTATATTGTAAGTATTTGCTATGTATGGGAGGTTAAGTCCATTTACGGCCCTATTCTCATAGAATTAGGTAGAGTAATTAATGTTATTATGAAACTTAGTTATAAATGCGAATCTAATTTGAGTTATATTAGAGTTAAAGGCAATTTTGTAATACTTTTTAAACTTATATTTTCAATAATAAAATTCATTTAAAATTCATTATTTATACTACTTACTATAACCTAGTCGATTCAGAAGTCTATGAATTAGGCTTTGCACAGGACTATTGACTTATGGATTGTATGGTTTTTTGACTATGCTATGAACAAGTGTATGAATTTGTATATTGATTTGTCTAAGGTTCAATTAACTAGTCTATGTATTAGACCATTGGATTAGTCTATAGGGCAAATATAAGTTTTCTGATTTTTTTTTTCATTTTTACTACTTACCATTTAAGGGAGGTAATTCTGGAAATTCACCATCATTGCAATAATCGCCGGCACAGCATACAACATTTATATAAGCCTGAGTATTACGTTTTCGAGGGCCACCCATAGTATTTATTGTATTCTGATTACATATTAAAGGAATCTGATCTGGAGTCGTAGTACAACCCCGAGTAACTCGTTCTTCGCCAAAAGCATCGCGTGTTCGTGATTTATAACACTGCAATAGATAAATATTAAAAATTTCACATAGAGTTAGTTAAACAAGAATACACATTACCTGTATAGCATTCTGGCACATATGGGCATGCTGTGAGGGATCACGACATGGAGGTTCACATGAATAACATTTAAATCTGAAAAATCAGTCGTAAATATTATAAATTCAACTTAAAATTTAATTGTTCTTATAGAAAAAGAAAATACGAAACAAAATTCTAACAACTAAATAATAACAATAATAAAAATGTTTATAAACAAAACAAGCAGCAAATATTAAAATTTTCAGCAACAAAACAGTAACTTAAATTTCAGAATCAAAACAAACTCCAACAAGAAATGCTGTTTGGTGGTTACCTTCTTTTCATGCGTCTTTTCGATTTTGAATGTCTCCTACAGGGATTTTTTTATTATTATTTTATTTTTTATTTAGCATACGTAGGAGGAAAGCATTTAGAGAAATAAAAAGAGTAGTGGGGAAAATAGTGGGAATAATAAAAGAGATATAATTTAAGTATGTAATATTAGCTTCAAAGTTATTATTAACAATAAGTTTATATTTCATAATCTTAATAATTCTATATAATTTATATAATTATCTCTTCAAACGACGTTCGACCTACCTGGGATGTGTTTGTATAGAATTCTGTACAGGCGCTACTGAAATTTCCTTGCTATTAGAATGTGACACTTCCAAATCCATATTTTCCTGATTTTCGTCTAATAAACGATTAGTTATTTCACCTTAAATATAGAGACAATTATATTTATAGGAAATTACTTTATATTTTCGCAAAATAAGTTTTAAATATTAACTAAATGTCTTCTTTTGAAGCTTTGATTGGTTCCTTATTGGCCTTTTTCTTAGATTGACAGTCTGCTGTTTTTTTCTCTTTTCAAAAGAACACAAACAATACACAAATACACACACTTATACACATTAAGTTCTGCCAGCAGCGCTTTGGTCTTAATTTTTGGAATTCATTTATATATTGAAAATTTATAATTTTTATAATAAAAACACTATTTTTGCAAAGTTAAACGTTCACTTATTTGTTTTAACTAGGCCGTTTTTAATACCTTTTGCATTTTTTGCGTATAAAATTGTCAACAAATAAATTAATTTTATAATGGCAGCCATTATCAGTGATGATAATATGGCGTTTGTAAAAACAGTTTAGCGAGAAAAATATTAACTTTATAAATGTGGAACATGTAGAGATTTTTGTCACACGAAAGTGAATAGCCGATAAAAGGAGATTCAATTGTTTATAAAGAAATTATCATTTAATTGATATAGAATAAACAGAAAAAATTATTTAGAATTCTAAACAGAATATTAATTACATTACTTTTTTTAACTACAGTTTTACTTTTTATTTATATTACTATTTTCTAGCGATTTTATCTGCCATTAAACTAAATTTGATACAAGTTTTAAAAGTATTCAGCACTGCATTATCTTCTAAATGTGTGTTTCAGATAGGGTTCTATAAATCGACTTTCGAATAATCGAACAATCGACTTTTTGTCGAAAAAAGTCGAAAAGTCGAAGTCGACTATTTTGTTCCAAAAAAGTCGATAACTCGACTATCGTCTATGAAAAAAGTCGAAAAGTCGACTTTGTAAATAAAAGTCGAAAAAAGTCGAAAAGTCGGAAAGTCGAAAAAAGTCGAAAAGTCGAAAAAAGTCGATAAGTCGAAAAAAGTCGATAAGTCGAAAAAAGTCGAAGAAAGTCGAAAAAAGTCGAAAAGTCGAAAATAGTCGAAAATTTTAAAAAAGTGGAAAAGAGGTCAAAAACTCTAATATAGTAGGAAAAACTCGAAAAAAGTATAAAATAGTCGAAATAAGTCGAAAAAAAGTCGAAATAAGTCGAAAATAGTCAAAAAGTCGTAAAAAATCGAAAAGTCGAAAAGTTGAAAAAAGTCGGAAAAAGTCGAAAAAAGTCGAAAAGTCGAAAAAAGTCGAAAAGTCGAAAAAAGTCGAAAAGTCGAAAAAAGTCGGAAAAAGTCGAAAAAAGTCGAAAAGTCGGAAAAAGTCGAAAAGTCGGAAAAAGTCGAAAAGTCGAAAAGTCGACCATTTATAAAGTACTAAAAGTCGAAAAGTCTAAAAGTCGACTTTTAAATAAATGAAAAAGGTCGAAAAGTCGAAAAATCGACTTTTCATAAAATGGAAAAAGTCGAAAGGTCGAAAAGTCGACTTTTAACTAAATGCAAAAAGTCGAAAAGTCGAAAAGTCGACTTTTTGTTTCAACTATAGAACCCTAGTTTCAGAGACTAAACTCAACTCGTACACTCATATAGTGTTCAAAATTAAATTTAGCTCAATAATTTTAATAACACAAAACAATAGTTATAACTTTTTTGTGACTGAAATTAAGATGCCAGCACACCTGTTAATATCTCTTTTAATTGTAACCATAGGATTATACAAATTCCTATCTGCTTTCTTTTAGTTTCAAAGTTATTTGTCTTTAAAGTTGTATATTTATATCGCTACAAAAAAGCGTCATATTTCACACAGTTTTATAAAATTTAATATATGTATGTATATTATTTTTGGTGTGATATAGTTGTAAACGTAAAAGTTAAAACTCATGTCTTCACGTAGATAAATAAAAATTAAATTTCAATTTTGATGAGAAATATATTAATCTGTACTATCTGAATCTGTTTTCATTTTTCAACTTAATTGATTGTTCGAAACATCCTAGAAGAGAATGTCCCTATGCCCTGCTGAATGCAATACGCGAATTATCACCATATAAAGAATCAAATCAATAGTTCCCTGATTTTATTCTTTTCCGAAACACTTAGTTCAATTTACATTTTAAAAACGCTAATTTGTTAACATATTATTTGTCATATTGTTGTGTTCTATTCCAGTCTGTTTCATTTAGTTGCAACACTTGCTTTTCTTGTCAAACAATCCCAAAACAGACTCGCACGTGGAAATTATATTTTTATACAATTTAAATATTTATTAATTGTTTTTAAGTATTAGTTAAATCCTAAATAAATTACTTCAAAATGGCTATGTTAGCTGAACCTAGACAACGGAAACGTTATAATTTGGTACCCAGAGGAAAAGCATTGTATGAAGGTAAGTGGAAGTTCGGTCAGTTTCATTGTAATATTTACAACTGTTTGTTTTTGACTTAGATGATAGCCGTTTCGGTACAAAAATGCTCGAAAAGATGGGCTGGGAAAAGGGCAAAGGTTTGGGTGCTAAAGAAGACGGCTCAAAGGATTTCGTTAGAATTCGCTATAAAAACGATATTCTTGGTTTGGGCTTTGAACATCGTGATGATCAGTGGACACAACATGAGCAAAGTTTTAATGGACTGCTGAAAACTCTTAACAATGAAAACGTTGATGACGATGCCAATAAGAAACAAGAGAATGGTAATGAATCAGATGCTGAGGATATGCCGCGTATGGGTTTTGGTTTCCAAGATAGCAGTGTCAACGATGAAAAGAAACCAAAAGTTGAAAAGCTTAAAGAGAAAATAAGTGGAATTTCCTTGGAGGAAAGATCTAAACAAAGTAAAGCCCGCGTACATTATAAGAAATTTACCAAAGGCAAAGATTTAGCTCAATATAGCGAAAAAGATTTGGCCAATATTTTTGGCAAAAAAGCAGCAGATGAGCAGAAAGCCGCCAATGATTTCTATAGCCAACTAAGTAGAAGTTTTGAGAAAAAGTCAGAGGAAATAAATGATAAACAAGAAGATAATGAAGGTGCTAATATAATAAATACCGGTGTTTCGGTTAATGATTATTTTAAAACTAAAATGGAAGCTATAAAAAATCGCAAAAACGGCCTCGATAGTGGGGAAAATAGTCTAAGCATGAAATCTGAATCAAACGAGGAACAACTAGAGGAAGAAGAACTTACCAAGAAACAGAAAAAGAAAAACAAAAAGGAGAGAAAGGAACAGCAATTGGAGGAGGAAAATAATCAGGAGCAGGAAAAGAAGGAAACCACTGACGGACTTATGATATACAGCAATGTGTCCGTAACGGATTATTTCAAAATGAAAATGGAAGCAATAAAAAATAAAAAGAACGGGTTGAATAATGCAGAGAAAAATATAGATAACGCCTTAACAAACGATCAAAAACAAGAACCGGAGGTTATTAGGAAAAAGAAGAAAAGCAAAAAGGAACGTAAGGATTTGGAAATTGAACCAGATAATGGTGCTATCATCGAAGAGAAGAAATCAAAAAAGAGAAAAAGCAATCCAGATCAAGAAACTGAAAATAATTATGAAATGGGAGAAGAAGCCAAAAAAGCTAGTGCGGAAGATGTTATAGAACTTGTATCAGAAGATACAACAACTAAAATGGGTAAAACCGAAAATAAATCACAAGAACCTATTGTGGAGCCTATTGAAGAAGTCGATTTAACAAATAAAAAGTCAAAAAAGAGAAAACACAAAACTTCATCATATGAAAACTTGATGTCTCCCGATAACACAGAGGGAACAACAGAACTTGAATTAACACAAGAACCAACTAAAAAAAAGAAGAAAAAGAGTAAGGCTAAAGAGCCAAAAGAAATAATCGAAATTGCTGATAGTGACAATGAAGAGAAGCCCCTTGATGAAAATGTCGATAGTTTAACGCAAAAAAAGAAAAAGAAATCGAAAAAATCTAAAGAATCTAACGAAAACTCAGATAAAGAAATTAGTTCTTCTACAACCAACCAAACTGTAAATGCATCCGACCAAGCCACAAATAAGCCCGACAAAGTCAAGAGAAAAGATGTAAGTGCAAAAAAAGCGTTCATCAGTGATATTAATGTTCAAATGTTAGATCTAGATGAACTAAAGAAAAAATACCAAGAATATAATATCTACCCAATCTCTTCATTTTGTGCAGAAAAATTCCGCAATATAAGTTTAAACGACTTTACGGGCTCCATACTACCTCACATCGAAGGTTACGGTCTCGATTCAAACCTGCAGCTGGACGTACAAATGAACAAAAACGATGAAGAACGCATTACAAATCTATGGAAAGGTATTCTAAGCAAGTATGTTCAATTGGAGAAACCGAAGAAAACCTATAATCACTATGTAAAGGAAGTCATCAGTGCCCGGAAAAGAAAACAAAGGGGTCCAAAACTTTTTATTAAAACCTGGCAACGTAAAAATGCCTTTCAAATTGTATAGTATCATTTGAAAAACTTTAGTTCTTTTATAATTTAGTAAGAATGTGTATGTAAGTTATTAAGTTCAAAATATGTATAATAAATTAAGTTTGTAACATATAAATACAAATATTTAACTAACGTTTTAAAAGTTATTTTCTGTAATATCTAAGATCAATAGAAATAGTATTATCCACTAAACCTGGGACGATCCATAATGGAATCTCTACCTAACATCACTTTAACGGTTTAAAACACTAAAATGACTACGGAAAGTGTGACAAAACCTATTAATTCGAAATGTTCAGAATTTAATTTTCTAACAACATGGCAGTTACTAATTTCCCAAAAGTCAGTCGATTCGTGCTACGAGAACTGTTCTAACATTACTAACAAACAGAGCAAGATTAATTAAAATTTTTAAAAAATTTAAACACTTTATGACCATATTATATTTAGTTTTATTAAAAATATTCTAAAATACAAGAACTCATACAAAAATGAATGAAAATTAAAATAAAGAAAAAATCACATTAATTTCATCAATTCATAGCCATATTTAAATTAAAATTGAAATGAATCATTTGCCCTTTTTACAGGGACTTGCAAGCTGTTCTACAGTACAAATAGGCACAGACTTGCTGTACCTCTAATAAAGAAAATTTCATACTTCCAGTAGAAGCTGCGAAAATTTTATGTTAATTAAAAACTAACTAAAGTCATACTAAACTTCAAGATTTATAAGTAATTAATATTATAAAAAAAAAACTAAAAGAAAAATTAAGAAAATCATTTTTACATTCATTGTTGTACACACTAATCTATACACCACTTGCACACTTTGTGTGAAGCGTGTTAACAAATTGATTGAGATGGAGGAGGGTGGAAACTAAAGTACATACTCTATATATATAACTAGTTTAATAATGTACGATGAATAAAATATCTCAAGAAATTAGAAATATGCATATATTCTAGCTATTAAAAATCATTTTCATCGTCTTCTTCCTCTTCCTCGGCTTCCAATTCTCCCTTACGATGTGCTATGCGACGTGATCGACGCAGAGGTCTTTCGATTTCTTCAGTACTACTTCTTTTAAGGTTTGGTTTGTTTTTATACATATTTAAGTTCACTTGGCAATCCCACTGAAAGATATTGTGAATTTTAAACTCTCATACCGGAAATGTGCATTTATTCTAAATAAACTTACCGAACCAGAGACAATTTCATCTCGTACTGGATGCCAATGTAAATCTCTTATTACATGGCGATGACTTTCTATGGCCTCTTTAATGTGGCCCGTTAACACATCATAAACTAGAAAAAGTCGATGTTTACAGTTATGATCGAAAATATTAAAACTTTTAATACGTTTAAGCGATCATACTTACTAATAATTCTCCCTGTACTACAACCTGTGTATATATAACGCTGTCCCGTCTGAATAGCTGGCGAAAATTTAGCACGCAATAAAGTTTTAGTAACACGATGACCCCGATAGGTCATGACACTAACATCTCCATCTAAAACCTTGGTGGGATTATAATCTAACAAAAGTTTTTAAAAATTTACCAACCACTTGAATCAATATCAACTTTTTGACTTACACTCTCTAGGCACCTGGTTGGCGCGATAATCCCAGTCAATTAATGGAGCATTAGGAGGACTACGTATCTTACTTTTCGGTGTTGGTTGACGCAAATCCCAAATTTTAATACTTTGATCTTTGGAATTGCTCAACATATAATGGCCATCATTTCGTGGATCTATATAAGTAATGCTATCGAAATGCCCCAGAAAAACACTGCTAGCTTTGGTTGAGCGATGAGAGCAACCACTTGAACATCGTAGGTCCCAAAGTTTAATAATGCCATTGTGGCAACCACTTACAATTAAATTTGGATCTTGATCACTTACATAGCTAATGGCATTTATGTCAACTGATGAATTATCCGTGCGAATTGTGTTAACATGACGAGTCTCACGATCGCAAACTATAATTTTTGAATCGGTTAATCCACCAATCAAGTTGCGACCGCAGGGTGAAAATCGCACGGAAAACATACCAGCACGGTAGCGATCATTGCCGATGCTATAGCTTTCGGCATCAGTACCATCTCCCTCCATGGGTGCAACATGAACTTAAGATGGGTCAGAAATTTAGTTTATTAATATGAAATTACTTCATTTAACTTACATGCATCTTCCCAGGTGGAATAAGTAAAGAAACGTCCGCAAGGACTAAAATCTATGTCCAGTATACTCCAATTAAGATATCTGACCTTGAAACGTTGTATGCGATTGTAGGTACCTTTGGATGCATCAAATATACGTACCGTACCATCTTGGGAGGCAGTTATTAGACGGGAGCCATCATTATTGAATTTACAAATGTAAATCTTGGAGTCTAACGACATTAAACGGTCAACTTTCTTATTGGGCACAAAAAAGTTTCCTATGCGTCTCTGTTGATTGGGGCTGAAGGCACCACGTTTGCAAACGGATAAGCCATTTTCGCGTTTCATCAAACCCCGAGCTAGACACCAGCGTTCATTTGGTTTCTTGCTGTTGGCCGGAAATCCACTAAGAGCCTTAATTTCTTTATACATCATAGTATGCTGAAAATATTACGGATATAAATGAGTCCCTGTAAATAATCATTAACACTTACACGGAATATTCTTAAATCAGGTTTTTTACGTATCACTGGTGGCATTTCTTTCCTATCTTCACGTTCAATTTGTGTTAAGACCATAGAGTAAGCAAAACTTAAGTCACCATTATCCAGACTCAGGGAACTGTCGTCGCTCACATAATCATCAATGTCTTCAAGCTCGTATGTAATATTATTACCCATGTGAAGAGGTTAAAGTTTTCACCTAAATAAGATTTACTATAAAAGGCAGAGAAGAAACACACTCCAAATGTCTGTTCTTTGTTGCCCTTCAGGAAACTTCATTCAATTTACGTCTTATGGAATTTCTTTTTAGCTTGATTTTTTCTTTGTTTTTTTTCCAACTGGCTAAAGTACGTACTTATTGTTATTTTCTTTTTCAATAAGTTTATTGGGATTTTGCTTTTGCTGTAATCGAAATACAATTTTAATTGTTGCAGTTCATTATTTCTGATAGGATTTTCTAAATTACAAAAACAATGTCTTACAACAGATAAAAAATAACAAACAAATGAGAAGAGAAGAAAAAAATAACAAATGACGAAACGTCACAGCTGTTATTAGATCTGCGCCTAGCAAAAATTAACGGCGTTGGCGCCTGCAACACTTCGACGGCTGCTTCAATCAAACTTGTGTTGAAAAAATCGAAAATTGAGAAAATAAATACATACAGTGTCTCTCATAATTATTCGAATTTGGGTAAACTATAAAAAGAAACTAAATTTAATAATATATTTTGTGTGCAAAATAAATAAATTAATTTGTTATATTGTCTAGATAGTCCTTATGTTTGATATCACGCTTTTTAAAACTTGAAAAATTAGCATTGACTTAAATTAATTGTGCTTTTTTAAAAAAAGTCCATGAAATTGCCTCACAAAAGTATACGAATTTTTCCTGTATTTCATATTTGATCATATTATACGCAACACAAATTTTAGATCGAATGGTTTTTATGCGTAATATTGTTTTAAGGGGTTACTATCCACGGATAGGATATATTATTGGCCCATTTGGTCCACAATTTTGGTGAATTTGTACCCTCTTTTCATGTAATATCATTAAAATGGCGATTTTTGGCCATAATTGTAAATTTTTCTCCTTTTTTCAAGAGATAAAACAAAAATTTGATATTGGGACTTAAAAGGCCCCTTAGGGTATCTAAAAATAATATTTTTTGTTACAAGAATCTGTATTTAAACGCTCCAAGATAAATTATTCGGATCATTCTTCTGTCGCTAATTCAATATATTGGAACTTAAGCCCATTTTTATAATACTAGGATCAACTATTTTCGGGGAAAGTTTTCTGGTATTTATTCTTTTAGATATCAGTTTTATACATTTTAAGTTTTCAATGTGTTGTGGAAGTGTACAACTCCAAAACAGGCCTCGAAGAAACACCATTCAAAACAGTAAAATAATTATTTTTATATACCAATGGCCTCCATGCTGCATTGCACGATATCATTATGATCTAACTCAAAAATGTTGATATGTGTTTAAATATTATTTACTATGATCAAATTAAAACCAAAATTTTGGACTTACAGTGTTATTGTAACGGGCAACATAAGCGTGAAAGTTACGAGTAGTAAAAACTGAAATCTACTATATAGGATGACGTTTTGTTAAGGCATGTTTTGGGGTTGTATACCGCTATAATATATTGAAAATTTAAAATATATTAGTGCCAATATGTACATGAATATACACTAGACAACTTTGTCGGAAAATATAGTCCCTAGAGATACGAAAAGGGACTTAGGATCCAAATATTTCAATTAGAAACTGAAAAACGATACCAAAAATACATCTTGGAACGTTTAAGTACAGATCCTTATAACAAAAAATATTATTTTTAGATACCCTATGGGTTCTATTAAATTCCAATGTTAAATTTTTGGTTTTATCTCTGGAAAAGGGTTAAAACATTACAAATATAGCCAAAAATCGCCATTTTAATGATATTACATGAAAAGAGGGCACAAATCCCCCAAAATTGTGGACCAAATGGGTCAAAAATATATCCATGCGGTTGATAGTAACCCCTTAAAACAATATGGAGCATAAAACCATGCGATTCTAGAATATGTGTATCGTCTAATATGATCATATATGAAATACAGGAAAAATTCGCATACTTTTGTGAAGTAGTTTTATGGACTATTTAAAAAAAAAGCACAACTAATTTATGTAAATAGTAAGTTTTCAAATTTAAGGGGCGTGATATCAAAACTAAGGACTATCTAGACAATATAACAAATTAATTTATTTATTTTCAACAAAAAATATATTATTAAATTTGGTTTCTTTTCATAGTTAACCCAAATTCGAATACTTATGAGAGACACTGTACATACATGCATACATTGTGAAAAAATTTAATAAACATAATGTGTGATGTTGATGACATATTGAAAATTAAAATTGCTTTTAGCCTGCATCATCGCTGCCAATTCAAAATAATTTTGACAAGCATTATATGGGAAAAACTTGAACGTGTAACTGCTGTGTTAAAACATTTTTCAATAAAAATCTATCAAACTTTTTGGACGGCTTTCAAACCGTTAACTTCAATATCAAGTTTTCCGTTCAATTTTAATTTAATAAAATGGTATAAAAGTTTTTAATTTTTAATGAACATCACGTTTTTTTGGATCTTGTCTTTAATAAAAATAATACATAAGAGCGTATAAGAAAATTTTTCTGGGGGTGCTGGGCCGCCGCAGACCAGAGGAAGGGTCGAGATCGGAGCTCAGTTTCTGTAAAGAAAGCGAGGAAATAAATTATGACGAAGTTTCAAATTTGGAAATGTTGCTTGATTCAGCCGTCGCCACAGCATAAAAGACAAGTATCGAATATAAATATAATGATGAACATCGAGAACCTTTCATAGTTTATGTTGATGCCATGGATCCTTCAGGTTCCCGTAAATCCATTAATGCAATCTTCCTAAACAGAACATTAAGAAAATATGAAGTTGAAAGTATAATTGAAGTTTTGGAAATAGGTTATGTACGTTGTGAAATTTGGCAAATAGCTTTGCCTATGATAAACATTATAAACAAGATGGCTAGATGCCTAAAATATTTGCTCATTTTGTATTCAAGATTGGCCTAACTTTGATATACCCACAGATTTGTCTATGGAGGATTTTCAATCTTCAATAATTTCGGAAGTATTGATATTAAAGTGCATAAGAGTTAAGAGAAAGTATCCTAAAGACCGAGAATTAAAAAAAACCAACCGGTTGAGTAAAGATATTTTTGACGGCATTTATAGTATATGCAAATTCTGTCAAATTAAGTTTATATACATCTTAAATTTTCCTGTAGAATTGTAACTAAAGTCAGATTTGAAATATGCTCAGCAGTATACGATCTATTAAAAAATGTCGCCCAAAATTGGTGCTTTGGCGGCAGATTTGCAGATGAAGGAGTTGAAATTTTATCGAAATAATTACGTCAATATTGCTGATCCAAAAACTATCAGAAAAGGTATGATATCGCAATTTTAAAAATATGTGTATTTATAAAATATTGCATATTTATTTATATGTATGTACTACATACATATGTATATACTTTTTTGCAAAACAACATTGATTATTATTAAAAAATTTGATATTAATGTAAAAACAATATACAGTGTCTCTCATAAGTATTCGAATTTAGGTAAACTATGAAAAGAAACCAAATTTAATAATATATTTTGTATGCAAAATAAATAAATTAATTTGTTATATTGTCTAGACAGTCCTTAGGTTTGATATATCGTTTTTTAAAACTTGAAAAATTTACATTTACAGCCTGTTTTTCTAAAATGAAAATTTGCCTTCGTTCTTAAAAATAACGAACGAAATTGGCTTTACGTTTTTGTAACGAAAAAATAAATTTTCATGTGAGTGTTAACGAAAGGGCTTTATTCTTCCATATATTTTTGGTTTTTAGAAAATGAATTCGTTCGTAATAAACAAAAGAAATGTCAGAAATAGACGATAGGCAAAGGCCTTTCGTTTGCCCAAAAAACAACGAAAATTATACCAAAATACGAAATAATATGTGGCCACTTGAACCTGAATGCAATTTGCAATAAAAACCTTTAAATTTCTTGAGAGATTGCATACAATTTTCATGTTGTTTTTAAAAAAACATTTTTTCATAATTTAAATTTTTTTTGTAAAATTATTTTATTTTTTAGGGTTAACACCAAACACCTTATTACTACATGAAAAAATATTTAAAATTTCAGAAATGAAATACGTAGGCAATAATGTTCTGTTACGATAGAAAAAGCTCATTTCATTTTAGACATTTTTAAACGAAAAACTTGATCGTAATAAAATGAAATATTCGTGTGAGAACTAAATTGTTTTAGAAAAACAGGCTGTTACTTAAATTTATTTAGCTTTTTTTAAAAAAAGTCCACAAAACTACCTCACAAAAGTATACGAATTTATTCTGTATTTCATATTTGAACATGTTATACGAAACACAAATTCTAGAATCGAATTATTTTTATTCTTAAAATTGATTTAGAGGGTTACTATCAACCAAAAGGAAATATTTTTGGCCCATTTGGTCCACAATTTTGGGGGATTTGTACACTCTTTTCATGTAATATCATTAAAATGGCGATTTTTAAAAATATTTGTAATTTTTTTCTTTTTTCCAGAGATAAAACCAACATTTTGTATTGAGATTTAATGGACCCCTTGGGATATCCAAAAATAATGTTTTTTGTTACAAGAATCTGTAGGTAAATGTTCCTAAATATATTATTGGGATCATTCTTCTGTAGCTAATTCAATATAATGGAACTTAGGACTATTTTTATAATACTAGGGTCAAAAATTTTCGGGGAAATTTTTCTGGTATGTATTTTTTTGATATCAGCTTTTATACATTTTAAGTTTTCAATGTATTGTGGAAGTGTATAACTCCTTTCAATGTAATAGAATCATTCTTTTTATATACCAATGGCCTCCAAGCTGCATGTCACCATATCATTATGATCTAAATCAAAAATATTGATATCTTTTTAAATATTAGTTACTATGATCAAAACCCAAAATTTTGGAATTACAGTGTTATTGTAATGGGCAACATAAGCGCGAATGTTACGTGTATTAAAAACTGAAATCTACTGTATAGTATGTCGTTTTTAAAGGCATGTTTTGGAGTTGTATACTGCTATAATGTATTGAAAATTTAAAATATTTTTTTGCTAATATCTACATGAATATATACTAGTCAACTTTGTCAAAAATATTGACCTTAGTTGTACTAAATGGAACTTAAGATTCAGATAATTCAATTAGAAACAGAAGAACGATACCAAAAATACGTCTTGGAAAGTTTAAGTGCAGATCCTTATAAAAAAAACTATTATTTTTAGATACCTCAAGGGGTCTTTATTAAATCCCAATATTAATTTTTGGTTTTATTTCCAGAAAAGCGGAAAAAATTGCAAATCCGGTAAAAATTGTAATTTTAATG